TATAAGTGACACACACACAAAAACAGATAGATGGCGCCACCGACTGGTGGCTAGAATTTACAAATTAATAAACAGCAATCTCAGACAGCAACCGCATTTGAAAACAAAACACCAGTAGTGCTAAGACTTTGAGGAATAACAGCATAAATACCTGGTGTAAAGTTGTGGAAGTGTTCAAAAAGATAGGTGAGATGTCCATGTTGATAGATAAGTGTTAAAAAGCCCGATCATTTTACGTTTTGGGGATAAATTTTTGGTCACATCAGTTGGACCATTTGCTTAGATTACATCTATGGCAGAATGTGCTATAGCCCTGCGGCAGCGATCCGCGGGCTATAGTACTAGAGCTATAGTAGTACCTACTACCTAGCCCGCGTACATTGACTGCCGCAGGCGCCGCCGACCGCCGCGCAGGCAGGACCGAATAATTCTGTCCCATATAACCTTTTTTATATTTTGGTGAGGGTTATATTGGGACAGAACGGGGTTCATTGAAATTTTGTGAGATCGCATGCAAAATCAAAATGCATGCGCTGCGAATGCGGCCCGTACGCCGCTATTGGCGCGAAAAAAAACCCTTCCCTTCTATATGGCTTTACCTTGCTACTGATGTGTATACATTCACTTCAATCGTTATTTACTTCTTAAAATATTGTTTTTCATAAACCCCGCTTCATTAACTTTAGTAAATTACGTCGGCCATTTACAAACAATCAGACCAATCACAACGAGTCTTACAATAGCCCCTGGTTCTCGCTTGTATCTGTGGCGCTGCAGGAGGCCTGATAGACTCGCTGTGATTGGTCTGATTGTTTGTAAATGGCCAACGTAAGTTACTAAAGTTAATGAAGCAGGGTTTATAAAAAACAATCTTTTAAGAAGTAAATAACGATTGAAGTGAATGTATACACATATCAGTAGCAAGGTAAAGCCATGTAGAAGGGAACGGTAGGTTTTTTTTCGCGCCAATAGCGGCGTACGGGCCGCATTCGCAGCGCATGCATTTTGTATCCGATCTCACGAAATTTCAATGAACCCCATTCTGTCCCAATATAACCCTCACCAAAATATAAAAAAGGTTATATGGGACAGAATTATTCAGTCTAGTTCCGGCAGTACCCTGGGGGACATAGACCCTCTCAGCAGTACTACAGCAGGTGCCTGGCTCACAACTAGGCCCTATGTCTACTCTATCAGTCTATGTATGACTACCACTACACTAGCTGAGCTCCAGTACTATAGCCCGCTTACATTGACTGCTGCTGGCGGCCAATGGCAAATGGCAAATTGCCAATGGCCAATGGCGCTGACCACAGGCACTTGGACCGTTTCAATAATAAAATGATGGTTAATAAATACAACTTGTCAGTACTAGAGCTACCAGTACCAGTACCAGTAATACTAATAGTCTTATTCTTAACGCAGTAGCTGGAGGTACGGTAGCCATCGGTCGTTGAAGCCCCTTTTTGGCGTTAGGGTTAGGATTAGGGTTAGGTTTATGGTTATGGTTAGGGTTAGGGTTCTAGCTCATCTAAACTCAAATCGTGAATTTATTTTCCAAGGCGTTGTTTTGAAATCTGGCGCCACCGCCGCCATCTTGGTCTCGTTAAGTATGAAAGCGAATGGACTCCCGTACCCGTGGCCTCGAGACATTAAGATACGGCTACCATACCCGTAGCCACTGCCTATTCTTAATGTTTGATTTGATCTAATAACTTCACTTCAACACCGTCCAATACACCGCTGTAACACATAGTGCGCACGCCATTGTGCATGCACAAATACACAGTGATATAGAGTACTCCACTGATGAGTTTTTAGAGGCATCATAACCCTGTGGCGCCTCTAGGATGACGTGACATTGGCGCGACATTACACGCCCCCTAAAGGAGGTGTACACCAGTAAGCCTCCGCAATTGTTCACCATTGCACTATTTCGTCTCTAGAAAATGCCTTTTGGGGCTTTTTTTTTCGCTGAAATTCGGCACTAGATTGCAATAATTTGCATTATGCACGCAAGTTGGATGCCTCGTAGACGTCTAGAAAACATTAGAAGGAAAATTGGTCTTGTTGTGTACTCGTGACATTTCGTCAGGTGGCGTAGCCGCAGCGACCGGCTGGTGTTTTTTGTGTATAAAATGTGTTCAGACAACTTTGCAGAAATTCGTGTCATAGAGCTGGCAAAAGTAGAGCATGAATCTGTAGTTATTTAACATGAATAAAGTATGTTTTGTAAGTGCAGTAACAGTGTGAGTATTTGTAATTAATTTCTGTTCGATGCTTATTCAGGCCTGCCGCCTATGGACGCCCTCTACTGTTGTTCAACACTTAAAGGTATCACACTGGGAAATCATTTTCCATAGGCAGCCATACTTACGAAAAAAGTTTTTTTTTAGAAATCACAATGCCATTCTCTGAATCCATGTTGTAACTGACACCATATATGTTGTTAACTCAAAAATTCTTCTATAATTTTTTTTGTAAACAAGCTTTTTCCGGCACGCACTCGAAATGGCCACTTTGCAATGTCATTTTACGCGAAAAAGTAGGCTTCCTTCGAAAATTCCCCGGTCGCCCCAGCAACGCACACTGGACGAGCCGCTTACACTGTCGGATTCAGCAGAGATTCTAGTTTCTGAAATTAACAAATGCAAAGAGTTCTAAGCATTTCTAATGAGAAATAACAAATTCAAGCGCATGCATATACTGAAAAACGATCTCATTCTAGACCTGTCCCAGCGCTGATTGGCTGATTTCCCACTGTAATACCTAAATCGGCAGTCCTTGGTTTTATGTGGTGACACGCGAACGTATAGAGTATTTTAGTAGTAGCGACTTAACAGATTTGGACGAGACACGGGACGTATGGATGAATGTACGTTGACGAGTAGTTTCTAGCAGCGTTCAGCTAGCAGTTTTTAGGCACTCTTATATTTGTGCATATATATATATACAAGTAGAGAGTGTTCATACGTAATGAGGTGTTTCTATAGATGAAATAAACCTTTTGTGTGATAAGACCAGCTTGCGACTCTACATGTCTTTGCTCTGTTTACTGATTCTCCAGTAGCTGTTCAGCTAAGCACGAACGAACTGACGGGTTTCAAGGACAATCAATCAACGCAATACTTATAAACTCTACGCTCGCTTCATACATTTGGAGAGGCGACATCAAGAATCACATCTGACTATACGATGCGACACTATAGCATCATTTCATATATTCCCGATTTTGTATAAGGGGTGAAAATATGCACTTGTTTGTTTTCCTTATACTTTTTAGCTCACCTTGACATCGTCAAGCTGAGCTATTGTCATGGGTCGTCGTCCGTCGTACGTCCGTCCGTCCGTCCGTCTGTCAACATTTGGCTACGGTCAACGATAACTCTGAAACCGTTTGACCCACATGTTTGAAATTGGGTATAGTTGTTACTGCTATGCTCCCATATTAAACGTCGTATTTTGGAGCACGCCAGTCGACGTACTTTCGAGCCACAGTATTTTTTTGGCAAAAATGGGAATTGCCATTAGTCAGTTCAGGTTCAACGGATTTTGTTCATTTTTGGTATGTGAATAAATAAGGGCTAGCAGGGCTCAATTTTAACAGTCGTCCGGTCGTCCGTGACGACTGGATTTTCTCTCGGGCAACTACAAATTGCTTCTGTGGTTGTGGTGTCCAACCTCTATAAAAATGTTATATTCATAATGCGCGCGTTCATTTTACATACGGCCAGGTTGCCACAATACGCTGCAAACGTACATGTCTCAGACGCATTTGTCTGGCTTGCTTGATACAAAAGTATAACACTTACATGTTTAACAACACAATGTTTCGTGTTAATTTTCATTTTTGTCATCTGTGACTTGACACAGTGTTAGTAATGTTAGTAGGTAATGTTAGTATGTTAATTGTAAATGTGTATAAGATAAATTTTATGCACTTTTAATTACTATTATTATACGTCATTGATCCCAGCATCATTTACACATTACCAATATATTTATTATCTTATATAATGAGTGAAACAATCCGAATGGCCATGTCTTGCTGTCACTGCAATACGTACAAAATTACATGATTAGGCCTTTTGCTTTACAGGCACTGAGCATCACTGAGCAGAGCGCATGCAGCCACATGTTAAATAATATGCGGACAACCAAAACTCTTGAGCCAAAAAAACCCTTAAATTGAGCACTGGCTTAGGGGGGTTTTGATATATTAAAAAAAAAAATTATGCCAAATTAGGTAGGGTTCGCAATTATAAAGACATGGATGATAACAAACAGTCTGTGGTGTCACACTCGTCTGCTGTTCGTTTTACAAGATTTCATTGACAATATCTTTAATGCAAATTCCTGCTATGAACATATTATGATTTATACTATTATTATTATATTATTTTATTATGATATAATGATTTATGCTAAGAAACATCAAAGCTGGTGTAGCGCCATCTCTACCGTCACAAATTGTGATTCATTTTGCGTTATATAAATTATGTTGTTAATGTTATATAATATAATAATTATTTATTATTTTCACATAAAAAATTGCACATAATTATCAAGAGTATATAATGGGAGTTCTCCCATATACCGGTATACTCTTTGTTTCTATAATGTACATCGATGGTTGCTCAATTAAAACTGACTTCTTCTCACTCACTCATTTGTGTCCTTTTTTGTGGTGAGCTACAGTGTCATTGACACTTTCATTTGTACAGTTTTAGCATTCTCAGTAAAATATACATTTAATTATAATATCAGGGGGAGATGATTCCAGTGCTGTAGTTGTCAGTGGCGGATCCAGGGTGGCACGGGCGGTGGCCCCCCCCCCAGAATTTTCAGGGCAAGCGTATTTTAGTCTACGTAAGTCTGCACTGGTAACCCCAGTCAGGACATGTACATAGCACAGATTTAGTAGTAAATTAAGTATTTTAGTTATTGGTGTCCCCAAATATAAAAACACTCAACTCAGCAGTGATATTAGTGTGATGAAGATTGTTTAATAATGCTGCCTCAGAGTGCAGGAAATGGCATCAAAGAGGGGTAATTTTCAACAAAATTTTAGGGGGAGGTCTCCTGGGCCCCTCCCCAACAGGAGGGGGACACCCCCTGAAGGAGGAAAAAGCTCCTGATATATTATGATAATGAATCAAAGATGTCCAAAAGTGGGAGGGGTACACCCCCTTCAACACCCTCCCCCCTCGGGCGCTTTGTACCCAAATTGAGCTTGCATGATTCGCCCCGCCCCCCCCCCCTAGAATTCACTTCTGGATCCGCCACTGGTTGTGTGTGTGTGGGGGGGGGTGCATGTTATTAAACCTCTGGGATCCAAAGAAAAAAATAACATTTCGTAACATTTCATTTTCCTCAAAAACGGCCATCTTGAAGGTTATAAATTGCTAAAGTCCACAAGCTTCCGGGGGCTGCACCCTGACAGGGGCCCTAGGGCAGGCCACTGGACCCCACCCGTTAATGTCTTCACGCCAAGGCGCTCGCAGTGTGCTATGCGCGCACACTTCGTATACTTTGCGATGGAAGTAACAGCGAAATCATCCCCCCCCCTTACAACTGATGACCTGTCTGCGCCACTGCTTTACATGTTCATATACACTCGAGATTTGATGCGAAATTTCATAGATTTTTTATCTTCAGTTTTATTCGATGGCTAACACCAGGTGGCACGTCTGTACATGCTCATTTCGGTGCAAGGATATAAGGGCTGTCCCCAATTCATTTTCACAATGTGGGACATGTTCAAATGTGCAAATGTTGACAGCTCTTATATCGTTGGGCCTCAAAACGCCATAAAAGGTCACATATGGAGAAATAAGGGCCCAAGGATATAAGAACGTTTTAGGGCGTTTTGATTGCGCTTGTGTACGTGTGGAGGCGTACGTAGCCATAGGGTGCATAGGTCTTTTTAAAAACATTTACGGATGAAATCAGACACATGATCCAACCTGCCTGTTCATGGTATTCATTATGCAAGAATCTATCAGCCACAACTCGCCTACCGTCAACTGTCAGAAATTGCAGCATGGTCGAAAATAACATGATTTATATTCATTACAATAGCCTGTGTTTGTTACGTAGCTTAGTGACAGCATGCAAGACGCTGCGTTCACACGTTTCGCATCAATTTGCAAGTGGTATCCTCATAATTACTCACAATGTCTCAAGAACATTTGACCAGTTTATTGGTTTCATGCTGTTAGTCATGAGTATGTCGCAGTAAGTACTGAGAGTAGATGTTTCACATATGTTTCACCTATTTTGCACACAGGCGGTCGATTATGGTGAAAAGTAGTAAAATGCTGATTTCTTCATTTCGATTTCTGCCACACTAGCTGATGTATAAATGGATATTTCTCTGTTATTGCAATTCAGAAAAATTTCCTGTACTCAATATTATTAGCCCCATTTGTTAACCCAAACATCGTATCTTTAGCCAATGTTGATGTGCATGCTCGGTCCAATTACTTACCTCCAAACTACTTTCCCTGTTTTGTCGCATATCGCGCTGGACTGTCGTAGCCAGTGCCAGCTATACATCCATGTATGTTTTCATCATGTCTGGCGAAGGTTGGAGAATCGAAGGATGTCCACCTTTTATAATTACACTTCTAAATAAACTTGACATTTCACGATGCTCTAAAAAAGTGCCCAGCGTCAAGTTGAACGTCAAGTGTTATCACTAAGTTAACCACATGCGGCATAATCTCATAGGGCACTATATATACTAGTGATAAGTAGATGCCTCTGGTGTTTTGATTGGTTTCACAAAAATAATAACGTTCAGGCTTATCTAACGTTGCTTTTTGCTTTATTTCTAAATAAATCTCTAATAAAATTGTGGTAATCTACTCAATGCATCTATGTTATCTAATTTGACAAAAACTTATATAATCCATTAACTGGCTGTTAGTAATGGTAAGTAACTGTGAGATGTACCCTCTAACTCTAAGACTGCTTTCTCCTATGCTAGTATTATATGACTCCATTATGTATTAATCCATTCTAAAAATATTATGTGTTTTTATATGCACTAATACATTATTTAATTAAAAACCATATATAAATTTGCATTTTTTTCTATATCCTTGTTCCCTTTTTATTTGACCATTTGCCTTGAATGATTGACATAGTAAGCATCATAATTGAAGCGTTCTAAAAATGCTGATTTATAAGAACGTGGTGCAAAGTCAAAAATCAAGCTTGAACATGTGTGATGCATACTGTTCAAACTATCTTGATCTTGCAACTCTGTTCAAGCTGGGTGTGATTATCTCACTCAGAGAAGCTCGATAAACCTCATGCATCTCGTGACATTTCAGCCTGTGACTTTTGGTCACCTTGACCGCACTTCGGGATGGATGAATGACGACCCACTGACCTCCCCCTGCGGCCGCACACACGATGGGTGACGCCGGCACATGAAGCATTTGCCTGTCGCAGCGGCGCCGAGCATCGCCACCGACATCGCAATGACAAAGCTCAAGGTCGTGCTACTTGTTCTCAATGGTGGCATTCTCATCTGCTGCGTGCTGCTCTTTCTCATCCCGGACTACAAGACGCTGTCATGGTACCGTTTCAAGATCCTCAATCCTTCGGCCCTATACCCTCTGACGGAGGAGGTTGGCTACAACATGGAGCGGGGCGTCGGCATCAGTGGCAACTGCACGCTGCACCTTCCACCGTGGCGGCGCGGCCGTGACACGCCACGCGTGATGACCTACACGGAGTGGTTGAAGACAATGGCACTGATGAAGCTACTCGACATGGTGTTGACGGGCAGCAACGTTCACTACATGCTGTTTGGAGGTTCACTCTATGGTAATTACATGTATATATATATATAATTATATTAAAGAATAACAATAATATTAATAATAATAATATCAATAATAGTAATAATATTTACGTTATTATTGTTTTTAGCTCATCTGACATAGTCAGATGCAGCTTGTAGAATCGCATGATCGTCCGTCCGTGCGTCAACAGTTGGGCACAAATCTTAACCGCTCGACGTACGGTCACGATATTCGGCACATCGGGGGGGATCGTCAAAACAGTATGCGGATGTTGAAGCTGGGGGTCAAAGGTCAAAGGTCAAGAGGTGTAAAAAGAAGGGAACATTCACTCCTTAACTTAAGGTTATAGGGAGGAAATGCAGAATTGCGGCCAAAATCTAAACGGACCTCAACCTAGGCTCGTGATAGTCGGTGATATAGCATCATGGTAGGAAAAGCCATCACTGTGCCAAAATTGGAGGTCACAGGTCAAAGGTCAATGGCACAGGGCAGATTTTAGACATTTCTGAGGACATGGTCTGACGGAAGCGATTGAAAAACTTTTTTGTTTCAGCGGTGACCTAGCATTTTTATGGCTTTATTGAAAGGACCATGAAACTGCCCTTCTCGTGACATGTGAAGAGTAAGGTCGGATAACCTTTTGGACCCTCAAGATGAGGGTTAAACATGGATTGTTTACTGTCTGTTAGAAAGAAAATTGACTGCCGGGTTTGCTAGTAGAATCTATGTAATGCTTGATGTATGAGGCTTACAATGTCACAGTGAAATTTCAAAAGCTAAATTTGGTTTGAAGAAGGTTTATGCTCCTTAAATCGTATAATTTCTATAGCATTCTGTACTGTCAGTATATTTACATGTAACGTATGCCACTGCCAGTGGCCACTGCCAGTGCATGTGGTGTGCTGTAGGCTCTGGTGTAAGTTTTGGCGCGTTAATTAGATTACAGGTGGCAGCTCCTCCTATTGCAGGCCTGTAGGCTTTGCTAGGTAAATGGATGAGTGCTGACCTATTCTGCTCGCAACATAGGATTGTCTGCTACTGACGCATACGACGATGGGAGCTTCCATCTTTAATCTGAAGACACTTAAACGTTAATCTGGGACTAACAGGGTTTACTAGAATCCCACCACTCCACCACAGAGTCACCGCAGTAGACGTTAGATGAGCGCTGTCGCTCCGCGGCACTTGTTTCATTATATTATGTTAGGCTTTATATCTGATTGTAACAAGGATTGATTGAGGCATGTCTTTGGCAGTGCCAGTTGTCTACATAGCATTAAAGTCTACCTAGAAATGCATGTAAAACATTGTGGTTATATTTTTAGCTTACACAGATCTATGCAACTTGTGGAATTGCATGAGCGTCCGTTTGGTTCATCCGTCCATCCGGCAACAATATGGCCACAAATATAAACGGCTTGACATATATGGCAGGGGTAGAAATTTACTTTTGAACACGGGAGTCCAACGGACTCTTTACCCTCAAAAAGAGGAAGTTCGCGGCAAAATGAGGGACTCCGCAGTCTGAGGTTCAAATTTTAAAGATATTTTAACAATAACGCATATATGCTTACTACTGTGTCACGCGAAATCACACAAAGCCTGAAGAAATTCTTGCGTTCGCTCCCGTTGCGCAGTTTATGTAAATGGCTGCAAGTACAGGGCTATAGGAGGTGCACTGCATTGTGGGAAACTATCACGCTGCTTTCCAACTCCCGTACGAGCCTCGTCAAAGCCGCCAGTGGAGTGCTGCATAAACGTTGCAGCGTTGCGGCGCAAAAATGAGGTCACGAACAGCGCCAGTGGGTGTTTCCTGATTCTGACATCCATTTACATAAACTGCGCAACGGGAGCGAACGCGAGAATTTCGTCAGGCTTTGTGTGATTTCGCGTGACACAGCTCGGTTACGAACACAGACAGTATGTTTTTATAACAAGTGAACACTGTCCTTCAAATAGAAACAAAGATGGAGTAGAATGGTGGAATATTTGTGTTGTATTCGTGTGAAATCAAGTGAGCGTTGAGCGAATTTTGGCAGCACGCTTTCCTACCTGATATATATTTATGTGTCGGTGTGCAGCGGCAGCCAGCGTTTGTTGCAGATGAGCATTTGGACGGCATTTACAGGAAATTGTCGGCAATAATAGGTGAAAGAGAGTATAGAAATATTAAGACTTTGGTAGTAAATAGATTTTTATTGAAATGCTCAAAGTGCCTGTGACTGCATGCCTTTGAATCCATCATGCGCGTTTTTTTCCGAAACTGGGCATTACCGCCGTTGTCTAATTTTTGCTCAGAAGAATTAAACCTTGATATATGGTCTTCATATTCGGTATATATATATATAGAGGCATTGTTAAGAAAAGCCATCACCTTGGCAAAATTGGAGGTCACAGGTCAAAGGCCAGTGGAGCAAAAGCCAGATTTCAGGCATTTCTGAAGGATGTGGGCTGACAGACCTTTTTTGTTTCAGTGTTGTACTACCGTTTTTAGCTCATCTGACATAGTCAAGTGCAGCTTGTAGAATCGCATGAGCGTGCGTCTGTGTGTCCGTCCAGCCGTCCGTGCGTTCGTGCGACTGTGCGTTCGTCAACAGTTGGGCAAAAATCTAACAGGTCAAAGGTCAATGGGGCACAAGTCAGATTTTAGACATTTTCTGAGGACATGGTCTGACGGAGCGATTGAAAAACTTTTTTGTTTCAGTGGTGACCTACCATTTTTATGGCTTTATTGAAAGGACCATGAAATGTACTTTCTGCTGACATGCGAAGCGTAAGTGTCGGATAACGTTTTGACCCTCAAGAGGAGGGTTAAACTTAAACATGGATTTGTTTACTGTTAGAAAGAATTTGACTTCCGGGTTTGCTAGTAGAATCTATACATGCCTGGACGTATGAGGCTACAATGTCACAGTGAAATTTCAAAAGCTAAATTTGGTTGAAGAAGGTTAATGCTCCTTAAATCGTATAATTTCTATTGCATTCTGTACTGTCAGTGTGTTACATGTAACGTATTCCACTGCCAGTGGCCACTGCCAGTGCATATGTGTCACTGTATATCAACTTGCTTTCACAAAAACTGATGTAGAACTAGCCGCTCCCACCACTCGCCGTTGGAGAATGCTGCGTGCATGCGTGCGTGCGTGCGTGCGAACGTGTATAATACCTTTCTGGGAAATTCCACGAAAAACGTTCACTCAAGAAACAAGTGCCGCGGAGCGACAGCGCTAATCTAACGTCTACTGCGGTGACTCTGTGGTGGAGTGGTGGGATTCTACTAAACCCTGTTAGTCCCAAATGTGTTCACATACACGCCAAAACAGTTGAAGGCACAGGGATGGTATCAGGAACCTTCTCAAAGGAATGTTTGTTGGAATCGTTATGAAAGTTGCCACGAGATGGCGCGAACGTTTAAGTGTCTTAAGATTAAAGATGGAAGCTCCCATCGCACGTAGTAGCAACAACTATTTGCAAGACAGAATAGGTAAGCACTCATCCATTTACCTACGCAAGCCCACAGGCTGCAATAGAGAGCTGCCACCTGTAACTAATTAACGCAGGCAAAAACTACACCGTACTATCAACACCACCAGTAGCAGTGTGATAAAGGGGTAGTTTTTGT